GCTCCCACCCTGCCCTGGGCGTCCTCAGGGAAAGCGGCCGCGGATCTCAGGGCACCGGGGGGGCTGTCCCCGCCTCTGTCCCTGTCCCCGCGCTCTCGGAGGTCTCGGAGCGAGACTAAACTGTGAAAATCGGGATTTTCCCCCTGTGCAAAGGGGGGGTCCCGCTCCTTGTCCCAACCTCGCCCAGCCCGGAGCGGCCCTGCCCTGGGCGGGGACACCCAGGGGACACCCTGGCCGTGCTTCCAATGCCTGTCCCGGCTCCTGCTCACTCAGGAGGGGCCACGTCCGGAGCCAGAGCTTCCTACTGCACTACACCCCCGAGATGTTCCCCATCCCCAGCCCAGGACAGAGCTTCTCACAGCCCTTCTCAAAGCACTTTAACTTTGTGGACTAACAGATATTTATTATACCGACTGCTCGTTTCTGTCTTGTAGGATTTTATAATATTACAGCAGGCGGGGGCGGATCACAGGAGAGGAAAATTTAAAAAAAAATCCACCACAACAGCTACCAAAAAACCCCCCCCAACCCTTTCAGACCTGTAACCAAAGCGGATGGTTGGAATAAAGAGTGGAAAAAAGCAGGAGAGCGCTGTGGTTCTCACTGGGAATGATGAGGGGGGAATCTCCCCTGGCCTTTTTCCATGTCCTGCTCTCTCCAGCCCCTGTTTTGGGGCTCCTGTTTTGATCCAGCAGCAAATTCCCGCTGGAAATCCCAAAGCAGGGAGTGAGCAGCAGCCCTGGGAAGGGAGAGGTGGGAATAGCGGTGGCGTTTGTGGTGTGGAGCCGTCTTCCCTCCTCCTGCCTGGGATGCTCCGGATTTTAGGGAAAAGCGAGCTGCTGGTCGGTGCTGGGAGGGAAAATGGCTGGAGAGAGGCGGGGAACGGGAATTCGGGATTTTGGAAGAGGCGACTGAAGCCTCCATCAAATCGGCCCCGGCACGAGGGAGGAGTCCCGGCCCATTCCCGGCTATTCCCGGTGCTCCTGCCCACAGGGAAATATTTCGGGATGGGCTAACGAGCTGCAGCTCAGGACTGCAGTGACACACAGCCGGGTGGCGCTGGGGACACGGGGGTGGCACTGAGGGGACCCCGCTCCTCACCAGGGGGAGATTTGGCAGCCGAAAAGCGAAACCTTTCCTTGCCTCCATCCTTCTTTGGCGCAGAATTCCCGCTGGC